AAAAAAAAATGTCCGAGGGACAACCGGAGTGTACCGCGGCAGCTTCGGCGGCGCTGCAGGAGGCTGTCGCATTGGCGCGCAAACACAGCAACGGCTACCTGGACCCCGTGCACCTCGCGGCGGCGCTCTTCAAGAACGACGATGGCCTTCCGGCGCGCGTGTTGAAGAAGATCGGCGCGGGCATCGTCACTGACGCGTTCGCGGGCCGCATCGAGGCGCTGCCGACACAGACCCCCGCGCCGACGCAGCCGCAGCCAAACGCCGACATGTCTCGCGTGTTGAACACCGCGGAGCAGAAGCGTGTGGAGCTCGGCGACACGCTTATGGCCGTCGACCATCTCATCCTCGCGCTGTACGAAAGCAAGGAGGTAGACAACATCCTTAAGGCCGCCGGGGCACCAAAGAAGGTGGTCGAGAAGGCGGTGATGGAGCTGCGCAAGGGGAGGAAGGTCACTTCGGAGTTTCAGGACCAGAACTACGGCGCACTGTCCAAGTACGCTTTGGATTTGTGCAAGCAGGCGGAGGACGGCAAACTCGACCCCGTCATTGGGCGCTCGGAGGAGATCCTGCGCACGATCCGCGTGCTCTCGCGGCGCACGAAGAACAACCCAGTGCTGATCGGCGAACCCGGCGTCGGCAAGACTGCCATTGTTGAGGGCATTGCGCAGCAAATTATCCGCGGCGATGTGCCTGACACCCTCTCCGCCGCACGCATCTTCTCGCTCGACATGGGTGCTCTCGTCGCCGGCGCAACGTACCGCGGTGAGTTCGAGGAGCGTCTGAAGAGTGTTCTCAACGAGGTGCGGGACGGCTCTGAGAACATCATCCTCTTTATTGATGAGTTACACCTTGTGCTCGGCGCTGGCAAGACGACTGGCGCGATGGACGCAGCGAACCTGTTAAAACCGATGCTGGCACGCGGTGAACTGCGCACAATTGGCGCCACAACACTGGAGGAGTACCGCAATTATGTGGAGAAGGACGCAGCGTTCGAGCGGCGTTTTATGCCGGTGCAGGTGTCGGAGCCGAGCGTTGAGGAGTGCATCAGCATCCTGCGCGGTCTGAAGGAGCGCTACGAAATGCACCATGGTGTTCAGATTACCGACAATGCAGTTGTGGTGGCGGTCCAGTTGGCTGACCGATATATCACGAGCCGCTTCATGCCCGACAAAGCCATCGATCTCATTGACGAGGCGTGTGCCAATGTGCGGGTGCAACTGTCCTCTCGACCAGAGGAGATTGATCAACTGGAGCGCAAAAAACGTCAGCTGGAGATTGAAGCCAAGGCACTAGAGCGGGACAAGGACAAGGCATCGCAGGAGCGACTGAAGGCCGTCAAGGGTGATATTCAGCGCGTGGATGAACGCCTCCAGCCGTTGGTAGAGCGGTACAATGAGGAGCGCACGCGACTGGACGAACTACAGGAGATGCAGTCCCGCCTTGACGAGAAGAGGACTAAACTGGAGCGTGCGGAGCGTGCGAACGATATGGGGCTTGCAGCGGACCTCAAGTACAACGTTATTCCCGACATACAGGATCGCATCCGCTCACTGAAGGAGAAGATTGAGCAGCAAAAGGCTTCCATGGTACAGGAGAAGGTTACAGAGGTCGACATTGCAGCAGTGGTGGCTCGCTGGACAGGCATTCCGGTGGCGAAGTTAAGCCAGACTGACCGCGAGCGGCTGCTGCAGCTCTCCGTGCACCTGCACCACCGCGTGAAGGGGCAGAACGAGGCGGTGGAGCGTGTGGCCGAGGCCATTTTGCGCTCGCGTGCCGGTCTTGCACGGCCGCACTGCCCGACCGGCTCTTTCTTGTTCCTTGGCCCTACAGGTGTTGGCAAGACGGAGCTTGCAAAGGCCGTGGCGGCGGAGCTCTTCGACGACGAGAAGCACATGGTGCGCATCGACATGAGTGAGTACATGGAGCAGCACGCGGTGGCGCGTCTTATAGGTGCGCCGCCCGGTTACGTTGGGTACCAAGAGGGCGGGCAGCTGACGGAGCCGGTGCGCCGCCGCCCTCACACGGTGGTGTTGTTCGACGAGGTGGAGAAGGCGCACCCGACGGTGTACAACGTGCTGCTGCAGGTGCTCGACGATGGTCGCCTCACCGACTCGCACGGACGGACGGTCGACTTCAGCAACACCATCATCATCATGACGTCGAACCTCGGCTCCGAGCACCTCATGCACATGGGCAACTCGCCCAGGACATACGAGGCGACGCAGGAGAAGGTCATGCAGGCGGTGCGCAGCTACTTCCGCCCCGAGTTCCTCAACCGCCTCGACGACATTGTCCTCTTCCGCAAGCTCGGCTTCGAGGAGCTGCACGAGATCATCGACCTCATTGTGGGGGAGCTGAACGTGCGCATGCAGTCTCAGAACGTGTCGGTGACGCTGAGCGATGACGCGAAGAGCTTCGTGTTGGACAACGCCTTCGACGCCGAAATGGGCGCCCGCCCGCTGCGACGCTGGGTGGAGAAGCACATCACCACGGAGGTGGGCCGCATGATAGTCGCGCAGCAACTCACGCCAAACAGCACCGTGCGCGTTGCCGTCAGCGCCGAAAAGTCAAAACTTGTCTTCACCGTGAAGCGGGCGGCAACGGGGTAGTGAGAGAGACACGCGAGAAGTGGACCGAGCGAGGGTGCGGAAGGGACCGAGGAAACGACATGCAAACCAGGACGGGAGATTGACAAGACAAATATGACAAGCAACAACCAACCAATAAGAAGAAGAAAAAAAAAAAGAAAGGAATCGGTAAAAAAAAAATGAGAGGCGAAACAAAAAAAAATAGTGTTTGCATTTTTCTGTGCCTTTTTTTTCTCGTGTGCCTACTGCCAATACTACTGCAGCCGCGCTTTGTATCACCATTGCATATGTGTGGTCGATGCTCTTTTGAATACCACTATTGCAAATATCTTCCCAACTCCCCGTCCTTTTTCTATTATTATTATTATTATTATTATTGAATCTATTGATACTACTTGGGTTGGATCACGTGTACGCCTGCATCTCTCTGTGTGTGTGTGTGTGGAGGGGGATGGGGGAAACACGCACAGGCACATCTGTGCGCACGCACCTCCTCTGCACCGCCGCACTGTTTTTATATCCGCCAAGACCTCACACGCTGCTTTTTGACTCATCTGGACTGTTATTTTTTTTTTTTGTCTGCCCTTTCTTCCTTTTGCTTCTTTTGGTGCTTCCCTCTTATTTTGCTTCGCATGGCCGTGTTGCGCATCCGCTTCATGTTGCAGACAGCTAGCACTCTCCTGGGTGCGGCGCAAAGCGCGAAATGCTGCCGTACAACGAGAGCTTTGTCCATGTGCAATGGCGCCCGCAGAGTTGGATGCAGGACATGCGCTCGTACATTGAACACCTTGCCATCACGCAGGTTTTCCTTGTCGGCTCCCACAATGCCGCCACGTACGGCATCCGTGAGAACTCCCCCTTCGGCGGCGACGCGCCGGGGCTGCTGCGCAAGCGCACGGGGTTCGCAGCGATGGTGCACCTCATGGGGGGCGGCGTGTCCGCACGTTGGGCGAAGTGCCAGGCGTTGCCAGTGCGCGCGCAGTTGGACGCCGGCGTGCGCTACTTAGACCTGCGCGTCGTGCCGAACCCGCACGACGGCGGCAGGCTCTACACGACGCACAGTCAGATCTCCGTCCCGCTGAGTGACGTCATAGAGGACGTGCGGGCGTTCCTTAGCGACGACATGTCGGCGAGCGAGTTCCTCGTGTTGGACTTTCAGCATCTTTTTGAGATGAACGACGTGTCGACGCAGCACCGCTTCGTCCGCGAACTGGACGTGATCTTGCGTCACTTCATCCCGGCAGATGTGCCCCTGACGACGCCCTTGTCAGCTCTTTGGCAGGCGTCACGCGAGCAGCGTGTGTTCCTCCTCGTTGAGGCTTTGGGCGTGCCGTGTGCCGCCGCGCGCCTGCGCTCGGAGGCTCTCGTGTCGCTGTGGGTTGATCAGAAGTCGCTTCGGAAGCTGCTGCGCTCGCTCAACGATATGCTTCTCGGCGACCTCCAGGTGCCCTCCGAGGGCAGTGTGCCGACGAAGCTTTACGTCACACAGGCTGTTCTGACGCCAGACATGAGTAATATTTGCTTCGGACCACTGAATCCTGTCTCCACGAAGTCCGCATCGAGCATCCGCGAGATGGCAGTGAGAGTAAACTCACCGCTGCTTGAGTGGTTTTGCACGCTTAATGCGCACTCACAATTGGACGGGGAGACGGTGACAGTACCACCAGCGATTAATACACACGGAAACATACTCATGGTGGACTTTGTGGAATTGGGGCTCTGTAGGGTGATGGGAGAGACGAGGGAACTGAATGCTGTTGGAATGTGTATTTACCTTACCATGTTGCGTGCTTCACGCCAAGAGGCCGCAGCTCCGAACTCGGATGGCTGATATTTAAGGACCGATACAGCATTTAGCTTATATAGCTGAATTATCGGATTGCTTGCGTAGCTGTTATATTCCAGTGATCGCAACAATGGCTTTTTTTTTCGTTCACCAAAGGAGTTTCTGGGGCTGGTGTGGTGTGGTCTGGTGTGATCTGATGTGGTGTAACTGGAGGAAGCGGAATTCTCTGTTTTTTCGGGTCTTTGCACTAGTTCTTAGGTGAAGGGGGCTGCACACAAGATGAGACAGCAGAAACAGCAGCCTTCAAGAAGCACAGATGTGTTTTCGGCCTGCACCGCATTTGAGTACGGCGGTGGTGGAGACGCATGCATTACCGCCCTCAAATACCCGCTGAGGGGGCAAGATGGTTATTGCGCCAAGCCCTTCGAAAGTGCGGTGGTGCGACTCACGAGGGAGTCTTTGTCGATCTACCGGCCGACGGACCGCGTCTTCTACGCCGAGCTGCGCTGGCGTGAGGTGCGGGAGATACGTCGCCACACGTCCGGCAGCAGCGGAGAGCCATTGCACGAGTTCGCCTTCATGACGCCGCTGGGCATCATCGTGGTGGAGGTAGCCGACACCGTGACGGCGGAAGGCATCGCCGCGTCACTGCGGCTCTTAAACGTGAATAGCGCTACGCCTCGCCTGCACACAACAGCAACAGCGCCAACTGCTACACACGCCGTGGCGCTTGCCGCACCGAGCCAGCCACCGTCGGTGTCGTCAGCGCGGAGCTGCTCCCCTGCCCCAGCCGTGCTGGGCTGCGGGGAGCGGCGCCGTGACGATGTGCTGCAGC